CTTGCTGGTTACCGGGTCTGCCGACCAGATGACGGAACACGGGATCAGTCGTAATTTTGTTTTATTCCAACTAGAAGCAGATTTCTATTAGGCCCTTCCATGAGGTGGATGCGATGCACTTAATAGACGACCAGCTAGCGCTGCTGCAAACCAAAACGTAAACGTCAACAATACTAATGTCTTTCGCGAAATAGTCGGCCGCCGCTGAAGGCAAAAAAATCGGTGATTTAAATGGATTTTAACATAATGGCACTGAGCCAAATGTCGACGGTAAATTCCTATTACACTGAATGGGCGTCAATAGCAAGTTTGTACGGCATCGGTAATTGAGAAGAAGATGCATGGCATGGAACAATGTGCGTCAAATGCACGAACTGATGGGAGGACGGTTTTCCGGAATAAGGTAGCGTTCTAAACCTGACTGGGTGAGATTGGTCGATGCCACATCGTTCTTCAGGACGATGTCGGCAACCCCATTTTCTTTATCACGGACCTATCAAATGAAGCATAGAAGCGAATTCAATAGTGATTGGGTTCAGCCTCTTCTGCCAGTTGTGTTCGACTCGCGTCGGGGTCGCTGATTTTGCCGTAACTGAAGTCATAAGCAGACTAAAAACTTAGATCATCAGGTACGGTCGCAAGTACACAATAACTGCTGGCTAACAGTCTGGAAACTGTAATGGACGGCAATACAGCCGTCACTGAAACTATAGCACTTTCAGTCGCAGAACTGTGACACATCCTCACCCAGATCAAGCCAGACAAATCTCTTGGACTGAGTGGTATTCCTGGGCCTAAGATTGAACACGGCCTTACAAAAGGATTGCGGTCTGAGGACATGTTTCAGTGTAATCTCTCGTCCCATTTCCTCGGACACACAATGAATCTGCGCATGGAAATGTATAAGCTTAATCTCCGCTCTCTATTCTCCACGCAACAGGCCATAGAACAATGGAATAACCTCTCGCAATCCATCGTGGAGGCGACGTCCGTGCGGGTTTTCAAAGAACGCTCTGTGTATAGATACCTTCTTGTACTATATCTTCTTCTGTCCCTCGACAGTATGGACTTGAAGTAATAACGCACCAGCTCCAAACGAGAGTTATGTATAAAAAAAGGCTACTCACAGTTTGTCGATAATAAATGAAAAGTCACAATATTTACGCGTGCTTGGGAAGATGTATATGACGCACCGGCATGCAATAAATTGGATTTCGAAAGGCATTGCCTATTATCCTCAGCAAATAAACTGAAATATGAGCAGTTGCAATCTAGACAGCATCAGGATTATACGCAGATGATAACGGAGCTGACATCTAACTGGCGTATGCTGGCAGTCGCACGCGAGCGCGCGTCGGGCCCTGTTGGTATGAACGCCCTGAGGGCACGCCCACGGCAGTCTTTAAATTAATTGACGGACATGTCACAAGACCTTCCAGCATTAGGGTTTGACTGAGCGCGGTGGTGGTGGGCACAAAGCATCAGGTGAGTGGACTGCCGCCGCCACCGGCGCGCGCGTGAAGGCAGGCATTAGAAGCAGACGCCGTGGACAGAAGGGTATCCTGTACGCTAGAGGGTTATAATCAATTCCAGTAAACATTGGAATCAAATTTCGC